CCCTGCATCCCTCCAGGCGCTACTTCATCGAAGCTGGTTTGCGCTCTGCCGGATGCGCTTTTATACTTTCTGGTGCTTACATCACCCCGCTCATGACGTCTCGCTACTCCATTGGACTGATTTGACACGTGCTTCAGAACGCGGTCACGCAAGGGCGTTCCCAAAGCGACTTCGACGTTTTTGTATCTATCTGTTAATGAGGGATTTGTGGGCAAAAATGTTTTTAGATTTGTGGAGTAAAATTATAGTTTTCATTTTTAAGTGAAAACATAAAATTAGACCCGGAGTGGCATGTTGTTACTAGTGTTATTGTTTTTTAATGTAATAGATATTTTAATGGGGTTATTATTCAGTATTTCCATTAATTAGATGCACATTCTAGACATCTTTGCTTTTTAAAACATATAGGCTAATTAAGTGAAATCATTTGCATTCATGGAGTTTATAGTATAAAGTGAAAAAGTGAAGTGGCCAAGTATGGTGACCCATACTCAGAATTTGTGCTCTGCATTTAATCCATCCAACTTATTCACTCCCCCACCGAGAATTCCTGCCGGACTTGAGACTTGAACCCACAACCTTCGGGTTACAAGTCCGACTCTCTAACCATTAGGCCACAACTGCCCCATATCTTCAATTACAGTATGGTAAATATGTAAATATTAATTCATATTCTGTATATAGAATAAATTTACCAGACAAATTTACTGGGATTCTGCTTTGTTTGTCATCAATTACTCAATTATTCAACTAAATTTTCAAAATACAATTTTAAATAGAATAGCTGATTTAATATTTTACAATGGGTATTTATTATTTGTGCTAACCAGGTTTTGACCCTGGCTTTGACCACGATTTTTAATATTTCCTTCTTGCAGTATTTGATCAGAGTACCAAAAAAAAAAAACATTTAATTGGATTAAAATAACTGAATTAACAATACAAAATAGCAATGTTTATTTCGTAGGAGTACTACTGTTTTTGTGTAATATCACATTCTATTTCCTCATTGAATATTGTTGTGGTAGGCACTAGGCAGTATACAGTACATTATTATTCCATTCTGAACATCTCTTGATTAACATTCTGCTTGTTCTGTGTTCTGTCTCTGAGTGTTTTCTATCATGGCCAATCTCACTCATTCTGTTTTTTTCCCCCTTTTCTTTTCTTTTCTTTTCTTTTCTTTTCTTTTCTTTTCTTTTATTATTATTAGTTTTTTACTCTAGCAATTTCCCTTTCATACCTCCCCCCCATTCATTTTTAATTGTGTTCATCTGCATATTGTTCTGGTGAAACCAAAAATACATATTTCTTCTCTCCTCAGGGTGCTGTGAACAGAAATTTGAAGTTGTTGATAATTTCCTCTCCACTTTGTCAAAGATAAGAACCAGCTGTCAAGGATTTTGAAGCCAGCAGCAAAAGTTTTGGACAAGCTGTTCAGCCTATTGTGCTGTGCCGTTGTGCCTTTACTTGTCAACTGAGGTCAGAGAATGAAACTTTTCCAGTGGTTTGGAAGTCTGTCCCTCTTCATACTCGATTGGCTTTATCTTGCATGATTGTGCACAGATAATTCTAATAAAAAGGTAAAGATGTTTGAAATTACACGTATTAATAACCTGAGGAAGTCTTTGGAAACGGATTGTGTGTACCTGAGACGTTCGAAAATGTACAGTCCTAGCTGTGCTCTAATTTGAATTTCCTCATTAGCAAAAGATAATTAGTGAACATGGAGCCAACTTGCTTATTATGTGTGGGACAGACCGCTGGTATATACTGTCAGATGGTACGTAGAGAGGGAGATAATGAGAGCCAGACTGCATTCTGTTGGTAGGGATGGTGCACAAAACAGTTCAAGTCTTTGTTTTCCCTGAATATATTTCCAAAATAATGACTTAGTTTGAGAGAGTTCACGAAGGAATTTAAAGTTCAATAAAGGAGTCTCAGTGTCAAGAGGAATCAAGATCTGCAAAGAAAAATGCAGTTATTTTGTAAGAGAACTGAGGCGTACTTTCAAAGTTTTCTCCATGCAGAGTTTAAAAATTCTAATTTGGTAAAGCTTGTGAAGATTATATATAATGCGTATATATAAAGCACACATACAAACAAACAGATTTGTTCAATTACATTTCTTGTACTTTTTGTTCCGCCGTTTACCCTTTTACTCTCTTTAAGGATGCTACATAAGAACAAAACACTGTTACAGAGGAGGAAGATGTGGAGCAGAGAATAAAAGCGGGACAGTGGCTGCTGTTTTCATGAGTTTTGTCCATGTAATTGGATATTTTGGAGGGTCAGTGCAGTAACAGTCATGAAGGTCTGCTGCACAGAAACTTGTGCATATGTATTTTGTGCCATGAGAGTTTGAAAATGTCAAATACATCCGGAGTCAAACCGTGAATGTGAGCAACAAAACAAAACCTGCTTTTGTATAGAGTTTTGTTGATTACAACAGAATCACTCTTGTTTTGTTGTGTCATGCCATGTCAAATATATACTTATTCAACAGTACTTATTCAAAAATAGAGTTTTGGATGCAGCCTATTTGGCAGAATCTGACATTGATAAGTACAGTGGTTCTCAATCCTGGCCCTGAAGTACCCCAGCACTGATCATTCTGGATGTCTCCTTTATGCATCACATCTGATTGATATCACAAGTTTATTAGTAGTGGCTCAAACAGGGAAGTCAAGTCAAGTCACATTTATTTATATAGCGCTTAATAATACAGATTGCGTCAAAGCAGCTGCACAGTAATAAATGGGAAAATAACAATAGGTTACTGTCGTAACCCCGGTTCTCTGAAACATCGAGTGGAGAGATCCACCTATGGGGAGGGCATTCGCGCGAGGCGAATAGATCTACGGTTGCCTGTCCGAATCTCATCCATATCAAGCCCACTATCTGAGGGTGAAGGCGCCAATCTCCGTAGAGTGGGTTCCCCCTCGATAGAAGGTCCGCGCCTCTGTTCAGAATGCCTGGAACATGAGTCGCGCGTAACGACAGGAAAAACCGCCTGCTACACACTAAAAGCTTGTGAGCTAGAGCGTGAAGTTTTGATGAGCGCAAACCGCCCTGGCGATTGATATATGCTACCGCTGTGGTATTGTCGCAGCGTACGAGCACATGATGCCCCTGCAGGCGAGGCAGAAAATAATTCTATCTTCGATTTGGCTATGATGAGCCAATCGTCTAAGTATGTTAAAATCCACAGACCTGACATTCTCAGAGGAGCTAAGCCTGCCTCCACACACAGAGAAAAAGTCCTTGGGCTTAGGGCGAGCCCAAACGGGAGGACTGTGAATTCGTAACATATGCCTTGATAGGTGAAACGAAGAAACTTTCTGTGTGGCGGATAAATGCTTATGTGGAAAAACGCATCTTTCAGATCGACCGATGTGAACCAGTCGTTCTGTTTTATGGCGCGGGTCAGAGTGCCGTGGGTTAACATTCTGAAATTGTATTTCCTCAAATGTTTGTTCAACACTCTTAGGTCCAAAATGGGGCGGAGAGAACCGTCCTTCTTTGGAACCAGGAAATAACGAGAATAAAATCCTTGATTTATCAGATTGGGGGCCACCACCTAAATCGCTCCCTTTAATAGAAGGGAAGAGATTTCCTCATTCAGAATGTGAACGGCGCTCTCCTCCGTGTGAGAGGAAAGAACGCCATTGAAATGCTGGGGTTTTATTACAAACTGCAGTCTGTAGCCCTGCATTAAAGTTCACATCACCCACTCGGGATCCGAAACAGTCTGCCAGGCCGACTCGTAACTCGCGAGTGTCCCCACCAGAGCCAGAGAAGCGCTGGCATTCTCTCGTGCGCCCAGTTTGCTCATTTGTGATGCAATGGCGCCCTCTAGTGGACAGACCAGGGGCGACATGCAGGGGTTCAGAGAGATGTTCTCTCTCTGCAGAGAGATGTACTCTCCCTGAAACGAATTCATATGATTCGTTTGTTTTATTGTGTTCTTTGTGTTTTTTGTGTTGGGGAACACAGGGGCCGAAGCCTTTATTAACTGGGTGAGGGGAACAAAGTATGTGCCAGCAGTGATAAATCCAACCCAAGCTGTGAAGTGCAGAGATCGCGAGAAGCGAATGACAACTGGAGAATAGCGTCGCGTGCAGGCCTTATATGCTCTCAGGTAAGGGGGTGGGGCCTTACCTGGCATTGGCTGCGCGCTTCTGTCTGTCTAGCCAGACTTGGTGCAATTGGATGCTTCTGCAGAGGTCAGGTATGGATGCCCTTCCCATAAGTGGATCTCGAACACGAGATGATGAAAGAGAACAGTGTTAATGTTGCAAAATTCATCAATTATTAAACAAATTTGATTCAGCTAAAAAGCAGCTCTACAGAAGCCAACAGTGTCATTATCCAGCTTCAGTTTAAGTTTTGCTCTCATCTGATAAAATTTTATAATATTATTAAATATGAATTGTCTTTTAAACCCATGGGGAAACATACAAAATGTGCAGTGCTGGAGTTCTCCAGGACCAAGGTTGAGATCCCCTGGACTACAGAGATGGATAATATTGAACTTTACATCATTTTTTTTTAGAACTTATACTTGCTAAATGGAGCCAGAATATGTGTGCCATTACAAACAAAATGGAATACAAACCGTGCAATGTATTAAAGTAAATGTAATGCAGTAAACTGACCCAGTTTAACATGTGTATATGTATTAGTTAATAAACGGGTGTAGAGAGAGTGTGTGTACTGGTATTCCCTACATTATGGGGACCAAATGTTCTCACAAGGATTGTGATCCCAGTAATTTTTTACCTTTTTGGTCCCCATGTGGAAAACAGCTTATAAATCACACAGAATGAAGTTTTTTGAAAATTTAAAAGTGCATAAGGTTTTCTGTGAGGGGTAGGTTTAGGAGTAGGGGTAGGGTACAGTATAGTTTGCACAGTATAAAAAACATTACATTATGGAATGCCCCCATCAAACATGGAAACCAGTGTGTGTGTGTGTGTGCGTGTGAAGAATACACTCACCCAGAGCAGGTTCAGCACAATCCTTATACTGTTCAGGAGTGCAGTACGGAGAATCACCTAGAAATGAGAGGAAAACAAAGAAACAGAAAAAATTAAGTGTCAAAGAAAAGTTATTCTTTATTCAGCCTTCTTAAATTAATAATGAATCACTGGGAACATGTTCTGAGTAGGAGAAAAACAGATCCAACCTTATCCCAGCCAAACTCAGCAGCACGACAAGGAAATAAACAGCTGGGAGTGCATGTGTGTGCATTGGAATAGAGTTTTGTGCACGTCTACACTTGCTCTTGGCTAAAATGTATCAGACGTATCCTGAATGTACATCACAGGGCAGTCACAATCAGTTAATGAATCTATAATTACAGTATTAGAGCAGGGTGCCTGTGTGAATGAAGGACTAATCATCTATGAGATAATTGTCCTGTCTTGAGTGCCAATTGAAGTAGCAGGAGGTTGAGGTTGGCGCCTATGGGTTAGAATTAATATGAAATTATATTTAAAAAAAAAAAAGAAGTCCAGTTTTATCAGATAGGTGAAAATGGAGACCATATAGTGTCATTAAAAGAGACCAGTTTAAAATGAAAATGACTGCAGCACTAACTTTAAAGATCAGCTATTATGGGAGAGCATACATTGGCATTAAGAATGGGACATAAAGGGCACTAAGTCACAATGAAAAGTTCATGAAATCATATTATGAAATCATGGAAATATATTGCGTATTTAAAAAGACCATTTAGCAACAGTTAAAGATGACTATTTATCAATGGGCCAAAATGACTTTTTTTTTATCAGTGAAATTAAATTAAAATGGAATGTTTCTGAAGAAATTAAGTTTCATTTTGCGGAGAGATCGTCCATACTTCTCAAATTATACAATATGTCAAGTTCAGTCACAGTTGATGCTTACAAGCCCTTGCTGTCAGTTTGTGGGCTTGTTCCAAACCACCTTTGACCCACAGACAACTGAATTCATTTCTATACTCTGACCTCTTCTAAACAAGTTCAGTCAGTTTTTGCTCGGCTGCCAAATGCAAACCACAAATGCACAAGGTATCAAGTTATCGCTACACACAGCCCAATGCTGACTTGCTTTCCGCCAGAATATGAAACGTACGTACGATTATGTATATTGGTTATTATTATTATTATTACAACCATTATATGCACACTTTTTTTTTGATACTTAGGCAATATTTTGTGTAAAATGACAATTTCTGAAACTGAAAACTGAAATTGAAATGTACTGTGTAGAAGTAAGAGAGGATGAGCATGAAGTAAAAGGTTAGTTTCAAGCACTGCTAGGGTTGGACGTACCAGGCATGTAGACCATTCTGCAGTTGCAGTTCTCTACGATGTAGCGCGTCTCACACTCAATGCGACAGGCAGACACGCTGTACACCTGAAAGAGGCCTGAATCCAGGGCTCTGGACACACACTCACCCCACGGAGGAGGAAGGTATGTCAGCTAAAGGAGAAGAAAACATTATAATGCATTAGACAGACTGATTAGCATATGTATAAAATTCACATGTAGCATTGGTAATAAAGGTTTTTTTTTTACTCAAGTTAAACAAGTACACAAGTACTTATACTTGGGGGGAATAAAAAAAGTACAGTACTTTTGACAACACCAGTGGTCAATGCAAATCTCCACCAATTAGTTTCATACTCTGACGGTATATCCACAGAGCATTCACAGTCAATTGCCTAAGCTCTAATGTCATATTTCACACACAAAAAACAATCTGCCCTGGAAGAAAACGGTACTGGGCTGATACAACGAGTGATTTTGAGCCAGAACTAATTTGTTATTAGTTACTATTGTTCTGAATTAAATGGATTGGCATTAGAGTTCTGAGTGAATAAACTAGATATTCACAAGCAAAACTGTATTTTCCAGTAATGCCTGTTTTGACCGTTTCTGCTTTCTGAACAATTGTTCACAGAAATTGCTACATAATTAATTTTCATGTATTTCCTCTATTATTGCTGTATATCTCAAAATTGCAAGCAAAAACAAAATAAACTGTCAAGTCAAAGTTTATTTAAAAAGCATCAACAAAAGTTGAAAATCAAGAATTAAAAAAATTGTAACACTTTACAATGAAGTTCTATTTGTTACCATTAGTTAGTTAGTTATTATTAAGTAGCAATCAAAAATACTTCTAAAGCATTTTTAATTTCAGTAAATTTCATCATTTACTAATACAGTACATTATTAAAATTCAAACATTTTATCTGTTAATATTAGTTAATGGACCTGGGCTAACATGAGCTTACAATGAACAATTCAATTTTTATTAACTATCATTAACAAAGATTAATAAATAATTTAGCGAATATATGGCTCATTAATGTTATTTAATGCATTAACTATTGTTAACTAATGGGACCTTATTGTACCAAAGAAATTATTTCACTTAAAACTATATAAGCTACAGAACTAAAGAGTAAAGACAGGATTTTTGGGAAGATTCAAAAATATCATCTGTTGTCTGTTGCTTTTCATTTGACATCAAATCGATCAGGCAGTCTCTTCCTGTCTAAGTGGGAGGTTCTTAACAAGACTAACCCCCTAATACTAGACATGTCTGCTTGCTGAATAAATTAATAATAAATATTCTATCCTCTGGATATTTCTATAATGGCATCTGTAGCCAAAATTGGTGCAAAGCTTAATCTATGCAAGTCCAAAACCAGGAAAAAGCCAGGAAAACATTAGAGTACAAAAAAAAACAAAAAAACAATACTCAAATACTCAGTGCACACCACATAACAATCCTCAGAAAAAAGTGAATTAGTTCCAATTTGGCACACAAAGCTCACAGCATCTCTACCTTCTGTTCTGTGCAAGAGTGATGAACAATTGTATGAATTTATTATAAAATAATAATTAAAAGTTTGCTTTACAGAGGTCTTTGTCTAAGGAATTTACATAGACACAACAAGCCTATTTTGTCAGATGCAGCAACAGGCGTCCTGCTGGCATGTGTCCACTGCTTACTGTGTTACAAACAACTTCTACCACGATCACAATCCGCAATCCTCCATGAGCAAACACCCTGAACTGGTTCTCGTATCAATAAACCTGGCAGTAGATGGATGGGGAAGGCGGCAGGGAGGGAAGGGTTTGAATGTCAAGGGAGAGAGAAATATGGAGCAGGGTTAAGGATTTAAGAGGGAATGACAAAAGAGATCCTAAACAACAAGGGGAAGAGACATGGCACATGAAAATGGCAGGTGAAGAGGAGGAGGAGTCCATCTGCCCCAAAACAATAGGTTGCCCACATCCACACTTCTCCGAGCATATATTACCCACGCTTCCATGCAGGTCAGCTTCATTTAGTCTCAACGGGAGACATCATGGGTAATGCGGTTGTAGGATATCAGACCGAATCAGACAATCTAAGATTTGGTCAAAACATGGTTGAAACATGAGGAGCCGTTTAAGACCAAAAGAGCCAAATGTGAATAATGAGCTGATTTGGAGGGGATAAGAAGGGACATAATCTCTTTCCAACTGCGTCTGGAAACAACTGAGCATCAGGCACAGATTGAGGAACCGATTTCACGCGGCTGCTGATGGGGAAAATAGATATCTGACAGGCAAATTAAATTTGTCAGTGGAGATAAAATCAAAGCTATTTTGGCATGGAAAGACTTTAAAAGGCCTGTCGTCTTACCTCTGCTCTGGGAATAAAAAATAAACCCAGCATCCAGATCTGACGCTGGGTATCACAGGGGAAACACTGACAAAAGCCAGCTGCAACAAACAATATCTTTAAAACAAACTCAATGTTAGGTTCTTTAGTAAACAGCCTTATAATAACCTCATTTGCATTTCTCCAGTGTTCCTTCAGAGGTATTGTAGCCTATATACTCGCTTTGAACTGTATGGAAAAGAAGCTTAATTAAGTATTTCTGAAAGTGTATGAAATCATAATTTATGTGTATTACTAGCTGTGATTGCATCAGTAATTCAAACATCAAAGGATAAAAAAAAAAAAATATATATATATATATATACACACACACATACATACATACATACATACATGCATACTATTAAATTTACACTATTTATATACTAGATAGTTATTAAAAGGTTTTAAAGATTACTACTAAGAAAAAGCCCCCAAATGTTACCTTATTGTAGCAGATGAGAAAAAATACATATGCTTCAGAAATAAATATATAATTTGCTGTATATATCTTTTTAAATCACTGAACAGGAGTAATTCCAGTTGAACACTGTTTTTCAGTGTATCGCTCAATTTAAATATTTTGTGTCAAAAATACATGTCAAGCCCTTCCATTCTGAATTCAATTCTGTAATAGTGATATAACTAATAGCATTACTTTTGAATGAATTCATTTTTATTGCATTTTTTTTCCAAATTAACCACACCATTATATGTTAAATTGATAGCTCTAATTATTACACATCAGTTTTTACAATAAGTTCTCACTATTAACATTACAAATACGAACAAGGTTGTTTTTAATTCAATCAGTCAATTGAGTTGTAGAAAATGCTGATGGATCATTTACATAAATTATTCATTAATGATTAAGACAGTGAGAGTGTAAATCAGGGTTCTGCCCTTCAAACTGACCTTCCCTTCCAGCATCAGCATGTGTGTGTGTGTGTGCGCGCAGCTCATAATTGCTCTATCTGTGATCACACTCATTTAACTCTGAGGGTAGATACTTTATATACTACCTTCTGTCACTAAGTAGCTCTACTGAACCCACAAGCTTACTGATCCAGTGTGTCCCAAATACATTTCTGAAAAAACTTACACTGCTGTTCAAAAGTTTGGGGTCAAGTATTTTTTTTTTTTATGAAAAATAATACTTTTATTCAGCAAGGATGCATTAAATTTTTCAAAAGTGAAAGTAAATGCTTTTACATGTCCAAAACAAAAAAACAATAAATAAATAAATAAATAAATTTTCCATTCTTTAAAAGAATCCTGAAAAAAGTATCAAAGTCTCATAATAATAATAATAATAATAATTTTACTGTATTTTTATCAAATAAATACAGCCTTGAACATAACTTTAAAAAAATATTTAGAAATCTCACTGGGACAACTGGGCAACTGGGACAGAGAGTTAAGCTCTCTTGTTCAAATGTATACTGTTTCACAAAGCTGTGCAGGCAGTAAAACTTCTTTCTGCTACATGTATGTTCACTGCAGTTTCTTCAAAATGAAGAAAATCATTTTTTTTGTCAAAATAAAGAGAAACATGGATTTATGTGTTCTCAAACGTGTTTTATGGAGCAGCTAAAGTTTCTGCTAACTCTGTTTTTTATCTTAATAACAAAAGATAAAGATAAAGTTGTTCCTGATTTTGTGAAGATACATGAATATGAAGGATGGTAGTCCAGTTAAATTCTACACAAACCATTTCACATCCATGACACAAATATTTTTGATTAAATGATAACAACAAACCATTCCCAAACTAGTTTAAACTCGATTCATACCATACTTTAACACAGCTTGAACTGATAAAACCTGAAAACAATTTTAATATTCTACAGCAAATTTATCATAGTGGCCATGGTATTAGCAAAAGTTATGTAATTGAATGCTGGGAATGACAGTTTGTTTCTTCAAACTAGTCTGAAGACCTAATTTAGCGTGTTTACTGGCAGAGTGTTAGGGGGTTTACTCTGCCAGAGGGATCACTAGAGACAATCCCAAATGGAGGAATGAGGGATGAGATAGACAGGAGGGAGTGGAAAAATGTATCCCGCTGCTGGATGTTTTTAGTTTTTTTTAAGCCTAAAGTAAAGTTAATTAACCAGTGCTAACTTTACAGAGCTCCCAGCTGAGTTGAAGCACAAGAGAGGAATGAAAAGGCATTTCTGAGAGGAAAATGTCATTCAGACTCAATCTGTGAACTCAAGACTCTTCAATCAAATGAAAAGCCATTGCAACCCACCCTACAAGCTGCATTCATATGCATGGCTTTAGAAATTGGCCACATTCACCTTGTTTGTTCTTTTTCTCCTTCTCTTTGGGTCTTTTGTAATGGGTTTCTTGCAACACTGCATCAGCGAGTCATTACAGCCCCTGGCTAGGACATCAGGGTTAATGATAATTAGCTGGAGATACATCCTCCTGGTCAGAGGATATTTAAAAAACAAATCAAGTGCATTTTCTCACAATCTAAAGGAATGTTCTATTCCTGTGTTTATCTTGGTTTAAATATTAATTTGTTCTGTTAATGTAAATTTCCAAAATTAATGGAATGATTAAAGTCCCCATGAAATCAAAATGAAAGTTTTTTGGGTGTTAGTATCAATATGTTAGTCTTAAGGTTATCTATAAGGCAGTGTGCTCCAAAACAGTGACAAAATTCGCATTTAGAAGATATAAGCATTCAAAGCTTGCAGTTCGTCACTTCCGCCAAAACGGCTCAACGTTTTTTTTGACGTCACATCGTATTTCA